TTTCCCATTTATTTATATATTCATCAGATCATCTGTCTATACCTTTTACTTTCCAAATTATTTATATATTCATCTGATCATCTGTCTATACCTTTTACTTTCCAAATTATTTATATATTCATCTGATCATCTGTCTATATCTTTCTTTGTAAAATGGGTTATATGATTGTTTTTATTATTGCCTATAAATTAATTTTATATTTCATATTTCGATTTTTTTTGCGCATAACCATTACTAATTTTCCACTCACAGCCAAGAGGGAAGGCGTCTTTTTAATAGCACCTACCGCCAACTCTCAGGTTACGTTTGCCCGATTGAATAATGATACTTAACTGTTACTCTTTTAGCGTACCTCCAGCTTCAAACTGCAGAGCGCATTTTTCTGGGAACGGGTCACGAACCATGAATCCTCGGATTACCAGTAAGGCCACGCTAACAATTAGGTCAAAAGTGGTCCGATAGTTATAAGAAACGTTTGATGCTACTTGATAGGATGAAAAACTATATGAAAGTTGACAAAAATATGGGAAAACGTAACAAGAAAACAATATCACAATATTTGGAAAACATTTCTCTATCTGGAACAAAGCAATGTATATAATATTTATATATAATGACTTTCAATTGATTTAGCAGATGTTTTTTGAAGTTAAAAACATACAAGCATTGACTAAAGTTACTCTATCTTTCCTATACCTTGTCTGACTTATCTTTAAAAACACAAAAACGATTCAGAAAGCTTCATATCCATTTACTTTCTTGTAATAAAGAAAAAATTTAAAAGAAAAATGTAGCATAGCGACATCTTTTGACATTATCCGTTTCAACAATATTACTGAAATATATTAAAGTGTAACGTAGTGAAGTGACGATAAAAGAATGCTATACACGGTGACGTGTGGCTCTAGAGAATATGATATGAGAATCTGTCGTGTCCACAGAAGCCTCTGGATAGTGGACTTGAAAAATAATTTGACCATCCATTGAAGTCTCAGTTCACTAGAATAAACCTACCGTTGTCCATTCAAGTGTGACCAAGATTTGTCATTAGTTTATAAAAGAGATTGTATAGCACTGAGGTAACCGGCCTATTTCAATACTACTGTCTTGCAATAAGCGAGGCGTCCATTTTTCCAAGTAACAAAATGTTAATAAAAACCATCATTGCTCGTTACTTGTTGCACTACAAATCTAGCTAACTAAGCATAAAAATGATATAAATCCAACAACTTTTACTAGGGATTTTGCCATTCAAAAGCATAAAAATAATATAGATCCATCAACTTTTACTAGGGATTTCGCCGTTCAAAAATATAAAAATAATATAGATCCATCAAGTTTTACTAGGGATTTCCGTTCAATAACATAAAAATAATATAGATCCATCAACTTTTACTAGGGACTTCGCCGTTCAAAAGCATAAAAATAATATAGATCCATCAACTTTTACTAGGGATTTCGCCGTTCGAAAACATAAAAATAATATAAATCCTTCAACTTTTACTAGGGATCTCGCCGTTCAATAACATAAAAATAATATAGATCCATCAAGTTTTACTAGGGATTTCGCCGTTCAAAAACATAAAAATAATATAGATCCATCAACTTTTACTCGGAATTTCGCCGTTCAAAAACATAAAAATAATATAGATCCATCAACGTTTACTAGGGATTTCCGTTCAAAAACATTATTTTTCTTGCAATTGATACTTTAATGTTAAAGACTTCTTATGCGAAACATGAGCTAAATTGTCAGAAAGAGACTCAGGGCTTCAGGCGTATCTCGTCCAAATTTAGAACTGCTGACCACATGAAAGTCAACGTATCATCAGAACCCGCCGCTACCTACTTGACTACTCTTAAGAGAATAGCTGAAATTACTGTTACGGTTATAACACATCCACAGCTAGAATGCACGTTTACGTCTCTCTATCTGCCCTCTATAATACAACTTTCAAAGTTTAAATTTCGAAATATTACTGAAAATGTGTGTGTATTTACAGCAAGAACAGAAAGCTGTTTTATGATCTGTTTGATTTTCTTATTACTTTTTTTAGTCCTAAAACTTTCCTTCACTGTTAGACAATTCCTACTCGTAAGACTATTTAGCTAGGTTCTCAGTGGTGTACTATCGTTGATTGAACTGAATTTAACCTTCTAATTACTGACATAAATACATTACTTTCTCACACTCACTGTTGTCTATAGCGTAAGTGTATCATTTCAATACTTAAACAGTTTACAATCGCTTACATGAATTGTAATTCAAATACCTTTTGTAATAGTTCCGTCAATAATAGAAATAAAAGTTGGGTACATATTGACCATGTATACCTCTCTGATATACTGATGATAGGAGGAGAAGGAGGATTAGATATGAGTTTGAACAAAGATAAACAAACTCTTTAAATACCAGATCAATTCAGTGAAGATTTTAGCTTTTTCTCACAAACACTATGACAGCGGTATGTCTGCGGACTTACAATGCTAGAAATCGGGTTTCGATACCCGTGGTGGGCAGAGCATTGTGTAGCTTTGTGCATAATTACAAACAAACAGACAAAAATTGTTAATAAAAATTAATTATTAATGTATTTAAATATTACATGATTGTTTATTATCTTGTTAATAAAAATTAATTATTAATGTATTTAAATATTACATGATTGTTTATTATCTTGTTAATAAATATTAATTATTAATGTATCTAAATATTACATGATTGTTTATTATCTTGTTAATAAGAATTTATTATTAATGTACTTAAATAATACATGATTGTATATTATCTTGTTAATAACAATTAATTACTAATGTATTTAAATATTACATGATTGTTTATTATCTTGTTAATAAAAATTAATTATTAATGTATTTAAATATTACATGATTGTTTATTATCTTGTTAATAAAAATTAATTATTAATGTATTTAAATATTACATAATTGTATATTATCTTGTTAATAGATCATTTTATATCATTCTATCTCCCAGGAAATTACTAGCGGCCTCTATTCGAGCTCGTAAAGCGGGTCATTTTTTATGGATTGGAAGTGACAGCTGGGGTGCCAAAGCCCATCCGGTTAGAGAACAGGAGGAAGCAGCAGAGGGAGCTATCACAATCCTGCCAAAACGATATGAAATTAAAGGTTTGAAGAAAAAAAAACGTTTTCACAATTATAAAAAACTTATAAGCTAACTAAATGAATCTGAACTAAAATAGTTTAAAAAGTAATATATAAGTTAACGAAGACAATCCTCTATGGCCAACCAACAAGAAGCGTTTAATGGTATATGTCAGTACACCGGAAAACTACTTATAATCATGTATTGTATAATTAATGACGTGTCAAGGTTAGACTGTTATCATTAGAATACAACATCATTTCCTACTTATCTATGCAAGTTAAAATGCAAAATTGTATGCCCCACTAAAACAACTGTACAACCTTAAATTTTAATACAAAGAGAACAGGGATATCTTTTATCACTTGCCTTTGACAATGTAAATATACCATACACCTATGATAAAACTAAAGAGTTTATCAATCAAAATTTGTGATAAAAATGAACTTACTATATAGATCAGAACTACAAAAGGTAAGCTATGAATTAATAAAGTTTCTATAACCCAACTGAAAAAAAAAGGACATAATGGTGTCGATCAGTAAAGAATAAAACTAAAGATTACAATACTTAAAATACATTGAATCGTCATTTTTGTATCCTAGTTATGAATGATATTTTCGGTCGTAATCCCAATAATATCTCACAAGGGTTTTAGTTAGACATAAATTTATATCCTACGCTAACATTGCATTATAATGTCCATAAATATAAAATGAATAATGCTAAAATAATAATAGTACCCAATGCATTTTAAACATTATAACCGATAATATTAATGAAACTAGCTTTAAATGTTGTCACAAAATACATAAAAAACAGTTATTTGTTCAACTATAAAGTTTCCTCGTTATGGCCACTGAGAATAAAATACAATAAAATTATTACATACTTTCGTTTACAAATGTCACAAACTTTTGGTCTTAGCTAGTACAAAAACATTCTAGTTTCTCCAAATATCACAAACTTCTAGTCTAGACTCGTACAAAAACGTTCTAGTTTCTCCAAATATCACAAACTACTGGTCTTAGCTAGTACAAAAACGTTCTAGTTTCTCCAAATATCACAAACTTCTAGTCTTAGCTAGTACAAAAACGTTCTAGTTTCTCCAAATATCACAAACTTCTGGTCTTGGCTAGTACAAAAACGTTCTAGTTTCTCCAAATATCACAAACTTCTGGTCTTGGCTAGTACAAAAACGTTCTAGTTTCTCCAAATATCACGAACTTCTGGTCTTGGCTAGTACAAAAACGTTCTAGTTTCTCCAAATATCACGAACTTCTGGTCTTAGCTAGTACAAAAACGTTCTAGTTTCTCCAAATATTGCAAACTTCTGGTCTTAGCTAGTACAAAAACGTTCTAGTTTCTCCAAATATCACAAACTTCTGGTCTTGGCTAGTACAAAAACGTTCTAGTTTCTCCAAATATCACAAACTTCTGGTCTTAGCTAGTACAAAAACGTTCTAGTTTCTCCAAGTATCACAAACTTCTGGTCTTGGCTAGTACAAAAACGTTCTAGTTTCTCCAAATATCACGAACTTCTAGTCTAGACTCGTACAAAAACGTTCTAGTTTCTCCAAATATCACAAACTTCTGGTCTTGGCTAGTACAAAAACGTTCTAGTTTCTCCAAATATCACGAACTTCTAGTCTTAGCTAGTACAAAAACGTTCTAGTTTCTCCAAATATCACAAACTTCTGGTCTTGGCTAGTACAAAAACGTTCTAGTTTCTCCAAATATCACAAACTTTCGATTTCACCAAAACCTTAATAATAGTTGCTACCACGGCGCATTCAAAGCCATAGTTATTACTAGGTAAACATAGAATATAAATAAAACTAAATTTTATATAGATCACCAAGAAATCTATAACCATTCTTCACACCTGAAAAACTTTGCGTGGAGGCGGAACGTACGTAATAAACTACATTGAGTAGTGTAATGGTACGTGCAAGTCACAAATTACACAAAATTTGAGAGAAGATGACAAATGTATAAGAGACCATTCAGATATTGCATTAACTTTCCAGTACATCTATAACATATACAAGGAGACTAAAAGTTATGTCAGAGTGTGATAAACGTTCATTTGTTGAGATAGGTTAAAACCGTCAAAATTAATCTTGTGACAAGTTCACACTTTCACTGCATCAAAAACAGTTACATGGAAATGGACTCCATCTTTGATGTCTGTGCAACGTGCTCTCCATAAGTATGAGTACTTTAGAAGGATTCAGATACGCGTGATGTACATGGCCCTTCCTAGAATACTTTTAACGATTTCACGAATTTTGTAGATCATTAAAAGTTCTTCAACCGATTTAAAATTTTAGACTGAATGTGAGTCTGGTGGCAAATAAATGAACATTTCTATTTGACTGATTTATTTAAAGTTTAAAGTAGTATGGTAGACGTATTGTGATAAGATAATCTGTTCTCCGAGTGCTTCGACGTCTAACGGTTCATAGATAACAAAATATTTCAAAAGAATATCTTTCATGGACCATGAAAATTTTTCTTGTATTTCTTTTCTTATCAGCATGCTGAACTGCTACTAAAGCAAGTTAATGTTTTTTGTACTACAAAGCACGTTTGCTCCATGCTAGGTCTTAACTTTTATGTCATCTTTGGAACCAACTAGAGGGATTAATTCAAAAGCTCAGACCACAACCCTCATCTGTTACCAATTGGCCGATGTCTTCAAACAACCAAGTCCTGATGATATCCAACAATTCTAGAGAAATATAACTTTTTATTTCTCTAAAATATACTAATGAAACACAGTTCTTAATTATTGTTTTTATTTTCATTCCTCATCGTAGCTGGTAATTTTAACGAAACGTAACTCTTAATACTTATTTGTTTGATTGTAGTTGTTGTAATTGCATTCTGATATTATTTAGAAATGATTGTGAAACGTTGTTTTTATTTCTGTACCAGGTATTGAATGAAACATACGACGCTTTTAATTGATGATTTGTGTTTATTCTCAAAGGTTTAAATAATATATTCTAATAATTAGGGAGAGCTGCAACATGAACTAGGAAAGAGGAACTAGAAAGCACAAATCATTAAAGCGAATAAACATTTTTTTAAACGATTAAAGAATTGAAAATCTTTTGTGTCTTACAATATTCAATATTGTCCAAGCTATTGAGAATAAAAACAATCACTTGAAATGTATGTGTTTGATATCATATATTGTATTAGAATGACAGAAAGAGAAAAATGTACTAAAAGCTTTAAAAAATATAAGATTATAATATAAGACGTATTGTTGTCATAAAAAAAGTAATTAGGTGACTGCTCATCTATAAAGAAAAGTTTCGAAGGGTGTTTAATTAAAGTATGTAAAATAATTTAAGAAAAATTCTGAAATTTAGTATATATATATGTGCATAATACATTAGCTTGAAAAGTTGGATTGATTATTTCCAAGATAAGAATTGTTAAAGTAATTTGTAAAGTTTCTGAGTTATCCATCTTATAATTAAATACTAAAGAATGTAATTACGAAATAATGGCTAAACGTAATAATTACATTTTGTACAAAAACATATTTCGCCATTTTTTGTATACATATGTCCCGAATTCTAGAAAAAAAAAACACTTTTCTGTAATAATAACTGAATATTTCTGCATGAGCTCTTGATATTCTGCAATAAACTTACCCGAAAAAAAATTTATAATTTAGAGAATTTCTAACCTTCTCTGTGACGTTGATCATTGAAAGCTTATAATATGAACAAATTTAGTAGCATATGATGTTGCGTTAATAAGAGTTACTAAGACAAGTAATTCAGCTTCCTTTTATTAACTATTTTCGAAAAACAATTGCAACAGATAAAGAAACCTCAACAATGTGAATAACTCTATTAACTATTTTCGAAAAGCAATTGCAACAGATAAAGAAACCTCAACAATGTGAATAACTCTATTAACTATTTTCGAAAACAATTGCAACAGATAAAGAAACCTCAACAATGTGAATAACTCTATTAACTATTTTCGAAAAACAATTGCAACAGATAAAGAAACCTCAACAATGTGAATAACCAACATAGAATGAAGCAGATCAAAATCTCACAAATCTCTTTTCAGGGTTCAATGCTTACTTCAGATCTCTAAACCCCGAAACTAACTTGAGGAATCCCTGGTTTAAACCATTCTGGGAACAAATCTTCGACTGTAACTTTGAAACACTAGAAGTAAATACAACCAAATGCACAGGTAAGTCTGGGAAATATGTTCAGATTAGATTACTAAATTTAGAAGTGAAATCTTTGCAGTGTATTAACTTGAGAAAGGATATCAATTCACAAGATGAGCTACAGAAATAAAAATTGCAATTTCTTTCAACCAAAGATAGTATAAAAATATTTTCATTTACTTCCATGTGTGAAAATTAGTTAAGAGTAAATCTAAGATTTTGTTGTAATTATTAAAGAAGATTATGCAGCTTATATTTTACAGTGGTATCCCTCCCTGTAACTTCTGGGTTATTGATCACATACTTGTACTTCTCATGTGTATATCCCTCTCTGTAACTTCTTGGTTATTGATCACATATTTGTAATTTTCATGTGTATATCTCTCTCTCTGTAGCTTCCGGATTATTGATCACATATTGATATTTCTCATTTGTATATCCCCTCTGTAACGTTTAGGTTATCAATCACGTATTGGTACTTCTCATGTGTATATCCCCTCTGTAACTTCTAGGTTATTGATCACATATTAGTATTTCTCATGTATATATATATGCAGATTTTGTTAAACAAGACCGATGTCTGTAGGTTTACTTTCTTCTTAGAATTCTTC